GGGGGGGGGGGTGCTCCAGTGATTTAATTTCGATGGATTCAGATGGGGAGTGCAGCGTGAGAAACATGCAGTAGTAACTTGGGACTTGGGAACCAGCTCGGCATTTGCTGGAAGACAGAGGAAAACCAAGAAAACCTATGTCCATTTGGCAAATCGATGACACAGCATTTAAAAATCCAGTCTCATATTCATAGAAACCACCATGTCTCCATTCCAAACATCGACAGGTCAATACTGCCTAAGGAAATAGCAGTGTTTAATGTGAGAGTCGTACCAAACACACAACTCTGCAGGCAAGATATAGACTTTCCACCTCGAAACGGGTGGTACGCCTGATTTGCAGTGTTCTTCAAGTTTCACCTCAGGGGCATTAGCGCCAGAGAAAGAACACGTGGAAGAATGACATAAGCGTCTGCAAATTTCAGTTCATTTCTCTTGAACGTATGGATGTACATGAAAGGGCAAATGCAGAATGAAACAAGAGTGGCTGAAGCTTGCAATTGCCAGAAGTGTCATGGCGGCCACTGCAGCAAGCAGCACATCAGTACCGGATTACATGCAGAAGTGTCGCCTTATCTAGCAACACAGACTGCTGCCGCTTGTACTGGAGAAAAGAAATGTGCAGGCTTTTTCACATTTCGAAGCGTAAGGAGAGGCCCTATCATATCACATGACGTGCGTGAAGCCTTCCTGAGAAGCTGCCAGTGGCTCAGCTACCGAAGAATACCCAAACATTTTATGGAACTGAACGTTCATTACTTTGTCTAGGTCTTCCTAGTGGTCTCTTTCATTCTTTTGGATTTTCCACCAAAATCCTATATGCATGCCTCTTCTCTCCAATTCGTGCTGCATGCCCTGTCCATCTCAAAACGTACGTTAACCCAATGGCACAACTGCTTTTTAGTTTTATTGTTTTTTGTCTTTTCTCTCCCGCTTTTGCCTTGTTGATTTTGTCATGACGTCCGCATGCCTATGAACCGCTAGCTTCATCTAAACAATATGTAAAGATTCAGTTCGTACCGCACAGGAAACACTACACTTTAATGAACCTTCAGGTCTCACTAAAGCGGGGAATTCCGTGACCGGGTCTGCTATCCACAATGGCTGCTTGCATTTATAGTACGGCGCTCTGATTGATTGTACAGCCTAAAGTAGCGTCGGGACGCCGCAGCATCTTCGCAGCGACGACGAGTAGCCATGAGTCGCCTTCAGCGTTTACTGAATCCGCCTAGAAAACAATGGAAGAGCGCATAGCGCAGTTCTGATTCCAAGGAAACCAATCAACGAGTACCACGTGTTCCTTGCACCGCTGTTGCATGTGGCCACCCACTGAGGTTAATTATTTTAATAAGTAAAAAATGATCTCTCATTCGTCTCTGTACTTGGCGGGTTTCCTCTTTCGTTTGAACTTCACAATGTTGTTTGGTTCAGCAAGCAGAATTGCTGTTACCGGACTGCCAAGCATTTACTGCGTCACCTGGGTCTGATAACAGCCAAAACCGTGACTATGTATACTTGTACAGTAGCTAACTAAACTAGCAAGTGACCTTGACCTCCCTTCGCTATGTAACCGACCGTTCCTTTTCCCCTTGCATCTTAAACTTCTGTCCTGAAGATGGGGCACCATATTTATCTGAAATGTAAGCAGCTCTACAAGACTACACGGCTTCACATTTGTCTTCATAGTCACCGCTGTGAGAACGCCGTATCTCGAATACAGCACGTTCATTTCCGGGACGGTGTGACGTATATAGGTGTGTGACTATAGACGGCGTATGGATTGATGAATGCATTTACTGACCCCATATACACACGACTCGCAACTACAAGTAATTACAGCGCCACCGCTAATTTTCATACATTACAAATCACTACAGCACGCAAAGTCTTCGCAGGCTTCACTAGTCGTATCATGACAACGGATTTTAACACATTAATTATACCAGTCTCACTGTAACTACAGCACACACAAAGTCTCTCTTTCACAGCCGCGCTCTTGCAACTGACTCGTTTCTTCACAGCCGGACTTTCAATTCTCAACTGACTGCATCGCCCCCA